GGCGAGGGGGACCCAGCGTGGGCACGCGCCTGCGGGCCGGGCTCCACGACCGGGGCCTGGGTAGTCTTGGAAGCCAGGGATCCGGGGGCGAGAGAGCGAAGCCAGAGGCGAGGGAGTGGGGTGAGCTCCTTCAGCACACAGAGGTCACGGCCCACGGGCTCTGTACCCTGGAAATCCAGCAGATTCTTTTGTGGTCATTGTCAGGGGACCGCGGCTGATCCGAGTTCCTTTGAGAAGTGTGTAAAACCTTAAGTACGTTTTGGGAGCCTTAGAAAAGTATGTATTTTTGGAATGCCATCTCTAACAAAGCTGTTTTGGCGGCGGGGGACATTTGGATTTGTACAATGTGTGTGTGTGTGCGTGTGCGTGTGTGTGTGTGGAAAAGACAAACTGCAGGCAGTTGAACAATGGGGGATGGATACTCTTGCTTCCTTTTCTGGAGTCCTCTGCTGCTAGGCTTATTAAGATGGGTTTAAAACCTACTGTGTGCACAGCAGGTGGGGAAGAACTTCTGCTTGCACTGCAGCTGGAGGGATAGAACCCCCTTACCCAAAGTGTTCATGTGGGATCCAGATGGCCAATGCTCCAGAAGTGGGAAGATGGGGAGGATGATTGTACAGGAGAAGGGTTTCTCAACCTTGGCACAACTGACATTTTGGGTCTGATCATCCTTGATTTTGGCTGTCCTCTGCATTGTAGAATGTTGAATAGCATTCCTGGTCTCTATCCACTAGATAACCCCCCCCCCACACACACACACATGAATATAAAAATGTCTTCACAGTGCCAAAAGTCTGTCTTTCTCTGTCTCTCTCACACACACATTCACTCACGTGTGAGAACCACTACTGGACTAAATAATCTTCCACTAAAGTTTCCTCCAGCCCCATCTTGAGAGTCAAAGCTCCCAAGACCTTCAACAGACTCATCTGTGGGGGCCTTAGATTTTCTTATCTATAAAATAGGATTGACAAGAATATTGCTGTGCAGATTTAAGGGTGTGGAAAGCACCTAGCATTGTGCATGGCCTGTGAGTGGCCGGCACTGAATGAATGATGTTATAAAGCATCAACAGTTTTTATTGAGGATTTATTTTATGCTTGACACTTCACAGACATTTATCTCCAGTCCTTGAGGTAGGTGTTGTTACAGTGTTGACTTCAGGGACAAAGAAACTGAGGTTTAGATGGGTCACTTGATATGACCAACTTCACACTGTAAAATGGCTGGAGCAGGATTTGAACTGATGCCTTCTGACTCGGAGTTCTTATTACTCTTAACCACAAGGTTTTACTGCTCTTATAATCACAAAGATCCAGGGGACCCCAAGAGGAATTCCATTCAGTTGTCATTGAGCATCTCTGTGTGCAAAGCCCTGTATGGGGATCTATTATAAAACTCTGCAACTTCAGGATCCACAAAGAGGCTGAAATATATAAACATCTCAAAATTGGAGATAAATAATGTTTTTGTTGAAACACTGGTTTTGAGGGGGCAGAATTTCAGTATGGATGTGTTGAATCTGAAGTCATGGGGCAGCAAAAAGAGAATTATGAAAATAGCATCTTCCTGATGCTTGCTTTGTTGCTTCCCTCACTCCCGGCGTCCCTTTTTTTTTTTTTAATCCTTACCTGAGGATACTTTTCCATTGATTTTTAGAGAGAGTGGAAGGGAGGGACAGAGAGAGGGAAGAGGGAAGAGGGAAGAGAGAGAGAAACAGAAACATCAATGTGAAAGAGACACATGGATTAGTTGCCTCCTGCACGTGCCCTGACTGGGCCTGGGATTGAACCTGCAACCCAGGTATGTGCCCTTGACTGGGACTTGAACCTGCGACCCTTTGGTGCTCAGACTGATGCTCTAATCATTGAGCAACACCAGCCAGGGCCGCCTCCCATTTTTTATCCTTTTTCTACACTCTAGCAAGAGTTGTCGAAAACACAGATCTGATCGTGTCACTCCTGATGAAAAGTCTTTGGACAGAAAAAACAAGTTAATTCTTTTAATCTCTTTAGGTGACTTAAAAGCTAAAGTTTGAGATTCCAGATCTTGCACATTCTAAACCCTTCCTTTCTGATTTCACCTGCACAAACTCGGACCCTCTCTCTGCCTGTTGCCCCCACTGCCTAGAATGCTGTTCTCCTCCACCTAGAGATCTCTTCCTCTTGCTGTGTGGCCCAGACCAGAGCTTATTCACCATTTGAAGCATCTGACTGCCACACCAGCATCAACTGTTCCTGGTTTGTGTCCTCCTCATCCATTCAGTTTATTGAATCAAATTAAATGCTGAATGGTGAGAGAAGTGCAGTTGCTGACTTCTCCCCTAGGTGGCAGTGGTGAAGCAGCCAGGCCAACCTGAGGCTTTGGGTCAGGGGAAGATGGGAGGAAGCCAGCCTAGGGAGGGAATTAAGTCTTGCTTCCCTCCTTTAACCAACTCTCCCTACTCCACTGCTGTGTTGCAGGCCCTGGGCAAGGCTGTGGGGAAGCAGTGGTGATTACATTGTATGTGTAGGTTGTTTTGGCCCACCCTGGTGAGTGCATTGATGGTTGTAAATGGTTGATGTGAAACCACTGAAAAGGGCACTAACCAATCACAGAGTGCTTCCCGAAGGAAGTGAGCATGTGTACTGGGGATGAACTCTCCAGGTAAAGTCCCTGGGGAATGTCTTTGCACAATGCAGGAACAGTACTGGCAAAGGTATGGAGGTGGAAACATTTAGGTTTGTTCAGGGAACCACGTAGGGTCTGGTGCTTCAGGGGCAAGAAAGGCAAAATGAGTAGTGACCAAAGAACTCATGGCTGGTGTGCAGAGTGTTTGGGTGTTGTCCTGTAGGCCACGCCAGGGTGTCCATTAGGCAGTTTTAGTCTACAGACTGAAGGAGTCAAATTTGTACACAGGAGGAAGAGTTGGAGGGAGATGATGCTGAAGGTCAGCTAATCAGTTAGGAGGTGATTCCTTTCCTTTAGATAAGAAAAATCGGGAATATGACCCTGGACTGTAGTGATAGGGAAAGAGAGGGGATGGGTGTGAGATGCAGTGAAGAGCTAAAAGACAGACGACTCAGTGGGTATTTAGATGTGGGACATGAGCAAGAGATGAGTGATTCCAGGTCTCTGCCTGAGTGACTGGTAGATGAACATTGGTCACTAAGGAGAACATTGAGAAGGTAAGAGAAGGAGCAGTTTAGAATGTGGACATAAGCAGTAAAGCACATCACTCAAGTAGAATGCATGTGCATAGGTATACAGACAGTGAAATGGGAAGGTGACAGAAAGCAGTGTCCGTGTTTCTACGTGTTGGGGGGACTCACTGATATGATCATCGTCTANGCAGAAAGGTGACAGAAAGCAGTGTCCGTGTTTCTACGTGTTGGGGGGACTCACTGATATGANTGGGAAGGTGACAGAAAGCAGTGTCCGTGTTTCTACGTGTTGGGGGGACTCACTGATATGATCATCGTCTATCCCCACTCAACCTAGAGAGCCTCCATGTACATTGGCCAAGTTCATGATCACTGTTGTAGCCTGAAAACATGAAATGCAACTGTTAGTCCAGTGTTACAGGGAAAGGGGAGAAGTGGAAGAAATTGCCTCCTCAAGGAACTTACACCACCCTAGCTGGGGAGAAAAGACATAGGTGTATGAGATTCAACAACAAAAGGTTGAAGCAGCAGGTCATGACAGCATTGAAAGAGTATGGAAAGAAGTGATTGTCTGGTTTTTGGTTTTGATGAAAGCACTGGTGTCCAAACTGGTCATTGTGATCAGAGAGGTGTGTTCAGGAGTTTCCAGGTACAGCCAGAGGCCCAAGTGAATAAGAGAGGAGGGCACAAGGAGGTCCAGAAGCCTGAGTGGACCAGT